GAATTGTCATTGAATAAAAATTATTTTATATGAACTGTCCTTGGCCTAGCCTATATAAATACTTATTTTCCTCGCTGTATATAAATACTGTATTTGAACACCCTGCTATTTTGCAAGTTCTCCCACTTAGAAATCATAGAGTGGTCTGAAATTGTCATCGTAGGTGCATGTCCACTGTGAGAGACATAATCAAAAAAAATTTATCCAGAAATCACAATATATGATTTTTTAACTATTTATTTGTATGATGCAGCTGCAAATAAGTATTTGAACACCTGAGAAAAATCAATGTTAATATTTGGTACAGTAGCCTTTGTTTGCAATTACAGAGGTCAAACGTTTCCTGTAGTTTTTTTACCTGGTTTGCACACACTGCAGGAGGGATTTTGGCCCACTCCTCCACACAGATCTTCTCTAGATCAGTCAGGTTTCAGGGCTGTCGCTGAGAAACACAGAGTTTGAGCTCCCTCCAAAGATTCTCTATTGGGTTTAGGTCTGGAGACTGTCACGTAAGTGTAACATATCTACTGGTATATACCCAAAATCAGAGCTGTGTTTTAAATGTGATGTGAATGTACATTGCATTGCACATTATGTTGGGACGGCGGTGCCAGAACTGCACCTGACAGAATGTGCACTGTAGCACGATCTCTCTTCAAAGGCAGATCGTGGACACATTTTAATAGTTCACGATCTAAAATTGTAATATCGCACACCTCTATTTTAAATTGTAATACTATTTCACATATTTCTCATTTTTATCAAATACCTGCACAAGAGACTTAAAACATTGTCATCAAGTACATACATTTTTTTACAGACTCCAAAGTTTTGAATGTTAGTGTAAATCAACTCAATATTAAACATTAAATCGTAATACATCAGAAACAGAGCAGCAGGCACTCGCTCCGCCGTTCGAGCACACGTTGACGTGTGGTTATTTATAGAATTGTGTTATCGCATGGGTAACGGTGGCAGTTGGGTTACGCAATCTGACCCTGGGGTCCGGACGGAGAATATTCCCTGCAAACAGGGTGTTTGTTTACAGATCAAAGTGCATACCATCAGCGATCTGTCCAGAGAGTGCCTTCAAGCAGCAGTCTCGAGCTTTCATGGGTCAAATGTTTTTACACACACACACACACAAAAAAAAAAAAAATCAATGGATGTCTATCAGTGGATCGATATGGGCGAGTCCCTGTCCTACCGCAACAGTAAGCCACTGGAATGGTCAGTCCTTTTGACCAACACATCAGATGTACAATCAAGAGGTCAAAGCCTTAGTGTGGGATCACAAATGAACAGTATTCTTTAACAAGGTATAAACACAAAAAGGGCCTACTGTTATGTCCCAAGTATTTCAATTGTGCAAAAAAGTATTTCACTTGTGACTAGACTGTCTTTAAAGGTATAGTTCACCCAAAAATTAACATTCTGGTCATCATTTAATCACCCTCATGTCGTTCCAAACCTGCATTACTTTCTTTCTTCTAATCCATACAAAGAAAGTTAATGGGGTCCAATGTTGTTGTTTTGGATCCCACTGACCTTTCACTGTATTGTCCATACAACCAGAACCAGAAACATATAACCAGAAAAGGATCTACAAAATATCTTCTTTTGTGTTCAACAGAAAAAAGTTTGAGTTTAGAACAACATGAAGGTGAGTAAATGATTACAAAATTTTAATTTTGGGGTTAACTATCCCTTTAAAGGAATAACTATAATAATAAAAAAAATTACAATAAAAAGCACTATAGTTCAGATTCACCTCACAAGTGTTACAGATGTTGCATTTTGTGCTTCATATGTGTATTCTGTGTGTATTTATTGTCCCTCTGCTTTGACTGCAATATTAGAATAATGTTTTTCTAAAAGTTGTATGTTTGTATCAAGGTTTGCACCTAAATTTGAATTTAGTCTGGTTTAAGGTCATGTCCACCAAGCACAGGTCAGACAGGTATATTAGCGATAAATGAACTGACAGATACTCAACAAATTGGATAAAAACTATAACCTTTTATTGCACAAAACTATCATAATCCTCACAAAAGCCTTGCAGATTATGCATAATAATGGGAACGTCGCTCACAGCGATTAATTAATTCGTTACAGTTATATAGCGCTTTTCTGGGTACTCAAAGCGCTTCACATATGGAAGGGGGGAATCTCCTGAAACACCACCAATGTGCAGCATACAACCTGGATGATGCGACGGCAGCCATATTGCGCCAGAACGCCCACCACACACCAGCTTACTGGTGGAGAGGAGACAGAGTATGAAGCCTATCAGTATATTTGGACACCTCCTCCAGGAGCAACCTGGTTTTCCCAGTAGGTCTCCTATCCAGGTACTGACCAGGCTCAACTCTGCTTAGCTTCAGTAGGCAACCAGTCTTGGGCTACAGGGTGATATGGCTGCTGAAGTCCATGAAGTCCAACAGTAATTAAATCCAACAGTAATTGTCTTGACATTTATTGTTGAAGGTGCTGGATGTGTTACAAAAGCAGTGCTTTGACAGAGTAGTAGCAGTATTTTAAAGGAGAGGGGTTTAGAAACACAACCTCTTGCAGAGCATTTTAGCTAGCTCTGAAAAACTTTAGTGGACAATAAAAGCATCAAGACTGTTGAAAGGCTGGGTTTTAGCATGCTGCGTCATCTGTGTTTCTAAAATCACCACCGCTTAAAATATTACAGCTAAAAATCTAGATATAACGCGCTCCACTAACCAGTTATTTAGTTATTGAACGATCCATCCAAATCCAACCCTTGTGCTGTCAGATTGATAAAATACATCAGCAATCATCCTAGATGTGGGGTGGGCAGTTTAAATTCAGTCAACAGAATATGACATTATGAAACTGTCAGCAGCATCAGCTCACTCATTAATAATGGCTCTATATATAGTTTAGGCAGCTTTTCTGTTTCAGGCTAGCCAAAAAAAAAAAAAAAGTCAGCTAGTCTGAACTACTTATATAGCCTTTTTATATTTAAATATTATATTAAGTATATTATCTACTGTATAATATATATATACACACACACACACACACACACACACACACACTATGGGGCTTTTAAATGCTTGATTCTAATTGGTTAACAAAGGTGTGCAATTATTTTCCAGTAAACAATGCTAAAGAAGTTCCACATATAGTACAGACACATGGAAACATATGTGCAGAGAAACTTGCCAGCGCTGCCCTGCGACTTTATCAGTAAAATAGTTCAGCAGCTGAAAGGCTACATGGCATTTCTCAGTAACAAGGTAGTAGTCACTTGAAACAGTTAAACTTACATTAATCAATCAATCGATCTCTTTCGCTCACTATAATAACTGCATTGGTCTGCATACCAATGGCTCAAGCTTTCACCACTAGAACTAAAAAAGATACAGTATTTTGTAATTAGCAATGGAGGCTTGGGATGAGTAAGAAATTAATTATACGCACAAGACTGTTTTAAGGACAAAAACCTGACAAATGTATTGAAATAAAACATCTGAACAAAGTTTTGAGGAGTTGTAACCATAGCAAAAGCAGAAAAAATTAATCCGGGCCATTTAATTATTCGGAAAATAGTGCATGCTTCACGATGTGGTTGCATTACCACTTCAGGTGTGCACTATTTTTCGAATAAATTTACTGGCCTGTCGTCAATTATTTCTTACATGCACACACACAATTTTCTATTTGAGGCTAGCCACGAAAAAAAGAAAGAATTTCTTCCTCATTTGAGTTTCATCTGAGTATGTGAACCAACACCATTAAATTAAGATGGGATAAAGTAAATCAAAAGATCCCGACCAGGCAGACAGCAAGATTGGCTAAACCAATGGCATGAGAGCCACACAACTTAGAAAAACAGTCTGTCTCTTGAAGACAGGACTTCAGATGAAACAAAGCACACCGTGTTCTACAAAAAGATGGGAGGATGGACTGAGAACGAGTTTCAACAGGGAATCTGAGAGAGAAACTTCTGGAAAAGAAGAGCAAAGTCATCCAAAAGAGTTCCATCAGTCTCTCTCCAAAATATACCCAAGTACGTTGATCAATAAATACATGCCCGGCTGAGGAGTTCATTCCACATGTGGGGATAGAAACAGATAGACTTATTAAATATGAAAGTGAAGTGTGAAATACACTTCAGCACACCGCACTGCAGCATGAGGCGCTCCTTTGTTCTTCCACACTCTCTCTCCACCTCAAATCTTAGTTCTTCTTCAAAAGCTCCCTCTTATTTTGTTTAAAATGCAGCACTGCCTCATATGAGTCTCATTGGTCTCTCAGAGAAAGAACAAATAAAACCTCATCCAACATCTTGGCAAGTTTCAGAGAAAGACTGAGGTCGATTTGCAAGGCTAAATAAGACAATATTAAATGGCATTGACAAAACATTTAAGTAATGATATTAATACATATTTCATTATATATAAACACATTATATATTTAAAATGAATGCATATATTTAATGAATTTACATTTAAAAAAAATTTAAAAGTTTAAAAATGACTTGGTCCTATCAGCAACATCACAACTTGGTGTATTAAGAATGTGCAGTCCCAGGTCTTTCAATGCAGCTCTTCCTATCAGGATACAGTGTCAGAACTATTTATTTTAAACTTTTTTTTCCTGCAAACACGGCCTTGGTTACATCAGCAGCAGAGTAAGAAGCAAACAGGATGAATTGTGTTTTCATGATCTTTGTTCAGGCATGCTCACATGTACACACACAGATCTGATTCAATCCCAATAGTTGAATCTTCTTTAGCTCTAGAGCTGAGAGCCAGTGATAAACAACACACCCAAACAAACAGAGAAATGATTAGGGAAGGCGATCTGCGCAAGCACGTCTTATCGTTTGAGGGTGTGAGTTATAGACGACACAAAAGTGGATGTAGATGGAATTGTGTGTGTCTGTACTTACCACAATGAACCAAATCATCCCGCAAAGCAGTCATTTACATGTAAATGAGACTCCAACATGCACCCTTACTTACCGAAGATATTGGTGGAATGTCCTTTCTTGGCGAGGGGTTTGAGCTCGTTGTGGCCCCAGCCATATTGCCTGTAGCTGTCCCACGCATGTTTCATCATCTAGGACACAGAAATGACGAGAAGTTAGCCTTACCCACAAACACAAAAAAGTATGGTGGATATCTGCATTACAGAACCCACATCCATCTGATTGATTAATCTACAGCCGCCTGCCTTCATGAATCGTAAACCTTTTAAAAATGTCGGAAGGAAACAACTGCAAAATGTAGTAACATGAAAGCCAAAAAAGCTGTTTGGTCTGATAACGAACAACACATTTTAACAGGGTTGAATAATACAGGGATGCACAAAGGCCTTTCATGTATGAGATGAAACATTGCATCAGAGATGTCCTGTTACCCAAAAGCCCCCGCTGTGACCGTGACTGTGTCTGCTGTGTTGTCATTCCCCTTTCAGGTCACTGGCTAGCAGCACACTGTCAATATATCTTCACTCTATGCGTGTGTGTTTTTCTTTTTTTTCCTCCTACTGGGGAAAGATGAATGGACACAGTGTGTGTCTGCGTCTCTAAGCGTGTCTTTGTCTCAGCTGAGGCTCTAGGCGTGCTCTCTCTCACATCCATTAAACGGCTGGCTGAGATTCAGCTCCAAGCCACTCCACATTTAGACATGTCTTCAAACATTACCACTTGGAGGAATACTTCCTCCAAAAAGCAGAACACTTGTGACAAGGATGAAAAGGTGCGTGAAAGGCAAACTAATTAAATTATAGTTCTGCTCCAAAAGCTAGTGAGCTGCATTGATGTCTACAGCTTGCAGTAGCCTATAGAATGTTGCCTCCTGAAGCTCAAATTATACTTTGGTTTTTACACACATCCAGTATGTGTATGTGTAAATTTCATCATCGTATATTATGAGCACTTGAGTGAAGGAAATTAGAGATTCTAACAACTCTGGTAAAAAATGTCTTTAAACTCGTTTAAATTGAATAACTTTCTGGAGAGAAATAGCACTGACACAAAGACAAAGATGAAACTTAATAGTGTGCATGTGTTCGTGCACTCTACCGAATGGAGTATACTTTGAAAGGCTGTGCTCGGCTGTACGCATATGCCACGTTTTCAGGTCAAAACCGAAGAATACATTGGGCCGGTCATATAAGAAAACATTTTTTGCCCTAAAAAAGTCGCATCCCAAATAATGTACTATACACTTGTACACTTAAACTTTAAGTGTATACATTTCAGAAGGGTTAGAAGTTTTTTTTACTACAAGGAAGCATTTGCCATTGTCCCTTTGAAAGGAATGATTTTTCAAATGTGTCTGATGTGTTGCCACTTGTTTAGGTTGTATATTTAAAACAAATATATCCGATTTGTCCAAATGCGATATGCATCAGAAAATGAATTATTTAAGCATCTTAAATTCAGCAATCATGCTAGCCTGGCAAGCCAGACCTACTTCAAGATGTTAGGTCTGGGAACTCACAATTTGCATACCTCAATCCGAGGGGCGGGATAAACGGTTGTCTTTCAATATCCCTCGGCACGCAATAGGACAGCGCTACAACCAACCAGAGCAACGAACGGCTGTGGCTGTGTGAGTCCCATGCGTTTTCCCATCAGCGGAGCTAGTTGATATATTAAACTTTTGCCGTATCCGATCGTCAAAACTCCGAACACATCTTCCTTTTTTAAGAATGACTTAAGTTACGGTCTCTTAACTCCAAGACCTCCAGAGTCGCGGCCAAATCCGATTCGAAAGACCGCTGTTCGCCAGCAACATCTTCTTTGTTTTCAAGTAACGTTAGCAGGAAAATCACCTATGGAAATCACACGGAACCGTCACATCTCTGCCGTCATTGTTAAGCCCGCCCACCAACTCTATACACGATGTGATTGGCCTGACCAGAGTTTGGTTTTCCAGCTTGAAAAGCCAACGGACACTTTGCTGCAAAATAATTTTTGCTGCCGCTAGGGTGCGTCTAGATTTCTAGGCTACAATCATGCCACAAGACACTGAAAGTACAGTGAGATGGCCAGACCGCAAAGAGATATGAACAAATCCTGTTCTCAGATGGAACCTCAAATTTCCAATTAGGAACGTCCTATGAATAGCGTGAAACGCATAGGAAAGTAATGTGACAATTCATTCCAAAAGAGTTTGACTTTAGCATGTTGCTATGCTAATAACTCCATAATCCAAGTATAAAAATATTGGGTTGAATTTGGCCAAAACAAGATATATTGTTGTTGCCTACTGTTTAAAATGGCCGTAGCATAGGAGAGCATGCCTTAAAATGCTGCCGCATAGGCAGCTCACTAGGGTTTGGCACGGAGCTTATGAACACAGAAGCAGTAGACGCCCTCTGGAGTTCGTCTGACTGTCAAGTGTTGTTGTAGGCTGCCATCAAGCCATGATTTTTCTTCGCTGTTCTCAGCCTAAAAAGCAGAAACCCAGGAGGGCGCCAAGGCAATGAAAAGAAGTCAATAATTTCATTTTGTTCTCTGCTTTCCATCTTTCCATGTCACGCTGTGCGCACAACAGATTATGAATTACCACAATGCAGTATTTCCTCTGTTTCCAACAAACCGAAAGCTGGTGGCTGATTAGACTGATTGTTAAACCCCCTTTAATGTAGACAAATTAAAGCCCAAGATCAGCAAGAAGCCTAAAATACAAACTGTAAGGAGATGGAGAGCTATGAGTCTGCATATCTCTCTTTCACTTTCCTCTAAATTCCCACTTGATCATGCATAACTTCCAACCTCCCTCTCATGTTTTATTCAAGGGCTGTTCAGGGTCGTTCTGCCTGTCAATTAACAGTTGTTTTGACTAAGTGGAGACCTTGTGAAGCGTTGAGAGCAGATCCTATCCGACACGAAGAAAACTTAAACTGGCGGTTAAATTAAGCCCAGGCTTTTAACTACCCCATGAAGATGTGTCTACAGGGACGCAAGCGCATGAGAGATAAAAAAGGTGAGACCGTCACAAGTGGCTGGGGATTATATTTCTGAGATTTTTGTGTGATAATATTGCGAAAATTAGCATTCTGTCATTATTTACCTTCATCTCAATCAAAAATTGCCGTCGTATATTTTGTGAAATAAATTTTTGAAGAATCTGCACACCGCTCTTTTCCATAGAACAAGTCGTAAAGACCACACGTAGAAAAAAGCTAGAAGCTAAAAGCTAGAAGAAGAAAAAAAAAACAATCACCATTAAGAATCATAAAAGCAGTCCACATATGACTTTTCAGAAGCTATTTGAAAGCTTTGTGTAAGAAACACACAACATTTAAACCATTATTCAGAATCAGATCAAAAGTTTAAAAAGTTAAAAAGAACCATTCATTCACTGATCCAGTTCCCGGGTTCAATGCACTGACTCAATCTGATGTCACAGTTCTTGAGTAAATAAGGTAAAGTATAACTTCAGAAGACAAAGCATACAACAAGATTTATGGACCAAATTTTTGGTGATTTCTTTTTTGGGATCTCTCATTTTTTGAGCTTAACGGATGTGGTTGCTAACTTTTGGATGGAAAACAGCAGTCAATATTCTTTAAAAAAAAATCTCCTTTTGTGTCAAGGGTTTTGAACAAGTATTGTAAATAATACAGTTTTTGAGTGAACTATTACTTCAATATTTTTTCAAATAAATTTAAAAATGTAGTAAATATAACCATATAATTTGTGTAAATTAAGATTCAAAAAAGATCATCTTGCATTTCCACATATGAAAACAAAAGACCAAGCAGCACTGTCCAACAAACATTCATTTATTACAATATTCCATAATTTTTTTGTGCGTTGAAGGTGGATGAGTTTAAATACTTGTGGTCATTTGTCCAAAGTAACAGAGAGTGCAGTAGAGAAGTGAAGAAGAGTGTGCAGGAAGGGAGGAGTGGGTGGAAGAGAGTCAGGAGTGATTTGTGAAAGAAAGGTACCTACAAGTGCGAAAGGGAAAGTTCGCAACACTGTAGTGAGGCCAGCTATGTTGTATGGGTTGGAGGCAGTGACACTGACAAAAAGACAGGAGGCAGCTCAAAGATGCTGCGATTTTCGTTGGGAGTGACAAGGATGGACAGGATTAGAAATGCACATATAATGGCTCGTTTCCACTGAGGCGTACGGTACGGTACAGTACGGGTCGGGTCGGTACAGCATGATCCGGCTAGCGTTTCCACTGCCAACAGTACCCTTACTTGATAGGCGTGGTGTTTGCCGGAAAGAAGCGATCGACGTCATTTTCGCGTGAAGAAAGCGACATAGTAAACAACAATGGATGACAGACAGCAGATCTTGTTCTTGCTTCTCGGCATGTTTGTCACAAGAAACAAGCGCTGGCATTAGGCGTTTCTCAATACCAAGTAGCCACGCAAAGTCCGACTCAGGAGAATGACTCCCGAGGACGCGCAATTCTGCTGATGGAACAGCGCGTTCTTGAATGTGCCACTCAGCTCGCTCTGCTACTCCGGTTATGTACATTTTAGGCAACAATAAAACGAAATATGTTATAAAACACCACTCTGCTTCTTTTCGATTTAATTTAAATACATTTTAAACATTATAAGCACACAAATGTGGTTCAGGCAACGCATAGCCTATTGATTAGTTATATTCACTGCATGTATGTAACGTTATATTTATAACAAAACTAAATATAAAACACAACCCTGCCTCTTTTCGTTTAAATTTAAAAATATTAAACATATTCCAGGCAATGTATTGCATATTGCATTGGTACAAATGTTGCAATAAACAACATTGCAGATGATCTTGTAATAAAATAAAACTATCTATTTTTGTTGAATTTCAGTTTTATCAATAATAGCCATTATAAAAGTATAAGTAAAAGGTACAAAAAGATATACAGTAAAGCTTTAATAACATAAAGCAAACAATTCAGTCAAATATACAAATTCAGCGCTCAAATATATGAAACTTCACTTAGCCTTCTGCCAAAACTATTGACCAGGGAACGAATTATAGATTCACGAGACCAAAGATCGCCTGTTAGGTCTGTACAAGAAGAATTATATCTCATGTTTAACCACTACAGAGACGTCAGAGTCAGCGGCAAACATCAGAATGACTA